TTGAATCCAAGAGTTATACAATTTCTTGCCATGTGTTATAGAAAATATTCATCAGTAGCACAATCTCACAGAAGACTACTAACCTGGTGGGCCAAATAGTAAAATTCCTTTCACATGCTTTGCACCTGGAATAAAATATAACAAATTTATTATTTACTACTAACAGTAAAACAGTCCTTTATGAGACAGATGGTCTTTATATGAAGGTTTATTGAATTCATTTATGGATAAAAATATGACAAGAATGTTTCATTTAACCTATTCACCACCAATTCCCTCTTTTCATCACAAATTCATAAAATAGTCCTGTTTATAGTCTGCCCTTCCTTTCAGAAGATCGAGACAAAAATAGTCAAAAATTTTTGAGTGAAAACTGAAAATTTACTAAATTCTGTCTGTTGGTTTCAAAACTAGGGTTCATTTCTTGATTAATGCACTGCCTTCTGAAAGCCTCCATTCCTCAGTGTAAAGACTTTCATAAAATACTAAATAGGTATTCATCTTTATTTGGCTTTTATACACCAGGCTGTCTGTAAATGGTTTCATTGCGCAGGTGGTCATAATATACAAAATGTGTAAAGGTCACTATTGGCAGATGATATTTGTATACAAATGGTCATTATGGGCAGGTGGTCTTTATAATTATATAAAGGTTGTCACTATGGACAAGTGGTCTTAATATAAAGGTGGTCACTATGGGCAGGTGGTCTTTATATAAAGGTGGTCAGTATAAGCATGTTGTCTTTATATAAAGGTGGTCACTATGGGCAGGTGGTGGTCACTATGGGCAGGTGGTGGTCACTATGGGCAGGTGGTCATAATATAAAGGTGGTCACTATGGGCAGGTGGTCTTAATATAAAGGTGGTCACTATGGGCAGGTCGTCTTTATATACATTGTAAAGGTGGTCACTATAAGCATGTTGTCTTTATATAAAGGTGGTCACTATGGGCAGGTGGTGGTCACTATGGGCAGGTGGTCTTAATATAAAGGTGGTCACAATGGGCAGGTGGTCTTAATATAAAGGTGGTCACAATGGGCAGGTGGTCTTTATATGAAGGTGGTCACTATGGGCAGGTGGTCTTAATATAAAGGTGGTCACTATGGGCAGGTGGTCTTTATATAAAGGTGGTCACTATAAGCATGTTGTCTTTATATAAAGGTGGTCACTATGGGCAGGTGGTCTTTATATAAAGGTGGTCACTATAAGCATGTTGTCTTTATATAAAGGTGGTCACTATGGGCAGGTGGTTTTTATATAAAGGTGGTCACTATAAGCATGTTGTCTTTATATAAAGGTGGTCACTATGGGCAGGTGGTCTTTATATGAAGGTGGTCATGATAGGCAGGTTGTCTTTATATAAAGGTGGTCACTATGGGCAGATGGTCTTTATATAAGGGTGGTCACTATGGGCAGGTAGTCTTTATATAAAGGTGGTCACTATAAGCATGTTGTCTTTATATAAAGGTGGTCACTATGGGCAGGTGGTCTTTATATAAAGGTTGTCACTATGGGCAGTTGGTCTTTATATAAAGGTGGTCACTATGGGCAGGTGGTCTTAATATAAAGGTGTTCACTATGGGCAGTTGGTCTTTATATAAAGGTGGTCTCTGTGGGCAGTTGGTCTTTATATGAAGGTGGTCACTATGGACAGGTAGTCTTTATATAAAGGTGGTCACTATGGGCAGGTGGTCTTGATATAAAGGTGGTCACTATGGGCAGTTGGTCTTTATATAAAGGTGGTCACTATGGGCAGGTGGTCTTTATATAAAGGTGGTCACTATGGGCAGGTGGTCTTTATATAAAGGTGGTCACTATGGGCAGGTGGTCTTTATATAATGGTGGTCACTATGGGCAGGTGGTCACTATGGGCAGTTGGTCTTTATATAAAGGTGGTCACTATGGGCAGGTGGTCTTTATATAATGGTGGTGACTATGGGCAGGTGGTCTTAATATAAAGGTGGTCACTATGGGCAGTTGGTCTTTATATAAAGGTGGTCACTATAAGCATGTTGTCTTTATATAAAGGTGGTCACTATGGGCAGGTGGTCTTTATATGAAGGTGGTCACTATGGACAGGTAGTCTTCATATAAAGGTGGTCACTATGGGCAGGTGGTCTTTATATAAAGGTGGTCACTATGGGCAGTTGGTCTTTATATAAAGGTGGTCACTATGGGCAGGTGGTCTTTATATGAAGGTGGTCATTATGGGCAGGTGGTCTTTATATAAAGGTTGTCACTATGGGCAGGTGGTCTTTATATAAAGGTGGTCACTATGGGCAGGTGGTCTTTATATAATGGTGGTCAATATGTGCAGGTGGTCTTTATATAAAGGTGGTCACTATGGGCAGGTGGTCTTTATATAAAGGTGGTCACTATGGGCAGGTGGTCTTTATATAAAGGTTGTCACAATAGGAAGGTTTGATTGCTGTTCTACAGAAACACTATTCTATAGACAACAAAATGATATGAATCAAGACAGACAAGAAGTCATAGCAATTTGATCCGAATGAAACAAAAAAAATCCAATTGCCAAAAACGCAGACAACCATAAAGCTGTCTAAACATACACATGGTATTTGATTCATCCTTACCTAACTGTTCTACAAATTCTGAAGGAAACACTCGAGATGCAAACGCTCTTCTGAATATACCAGAGAATTCCTAAAAAATAAACATATCGTAATAATCACAACCTTGCCCCTGCATACATATGCTACAAGTCCCCTGCCATGCTAAATCATACTGAATCATACTGATTCATACTGAATTATACTGATTCATACTGATTCATACTGATTCACACAGATTCATACTGATTCATACTGAATCATACTGATTCATACTGATTGAGTAATATGAATGGAACAACTATGTAAGGTATATATTTTTCCAATTTTGTGCAGACACATATTAACCTAATAAGTCTTTCAGGTTTTGTAAAGTTTATGAGAATTTTCATCCAACAGAGTCCTGAAAAGAAATTTAGACGTACTTCGAAAATAAAGTATGCCACGCAAACTTACATAGCTTTGCGGTATTACAACAGTGGAAAGTTTGCTTGATTTGGTGATTAGACAAACCTTAACTTTTTCACCAACAGACTTTCTTTTTCTGCACGTTTTTCTTATATACTAGAGTCCTTCAATATTTCTGGAAATCAACTCTAATTTGGGAGCCAATTTTCATTTTTTTCTCAAAAAATTTGACTATTTTTGTCCCAATCTTCTGAAAGAAAATGCAGACTATAAACGAGACTATTTTGTAAACTTGCAATGAAAAGAGGGAACTGGTGGTGAAAAGGTTAACATCACAGGTCAGCTTTAGTGCTTCAAATTTATCCGGATTTGTTGCCATAGAGATTCCAATAATCAGTGGAGATGTTCTGCAAATAAATCTCACAAATATATTACAAAATTGGAATACAACTAAAAAAAGAGGAAAAAAACGGCTATAAGAGACACAATGGATATGTTTAACACAATTTTTCTTAATTTAACTGACCTTATCAAGACCACCAATTCCCATCTTTTGGAAATCCCAATCCGGATTAATAATTGACTGTCTAGTGGCTTTACTGTAAAATAAAGAAATTGTGCAA